AGTGCCAACCTTTTTTCCCTGAGGTTTCAGCTTCCACTTTTGCCCACTTTCATAATAGCAGCAGTTATTACCAAAAGTACCAGCAGTGCTTACACACTGTGCCGCACCCAGTCAGGCCTGGATCTTGTGCCTGCCCAGGCAGGAGGGAAGGGGAGAAGAAAGGTGCACACCCTCCCTCCCCCTCTCTCCCGCTTACCTGGCAGTGGCAAAGCTCCACATTCAGGTCACATTAAACATAAATATTACAAACGCTATTTCAGGTTCATCACGCTCCTTTGCACATGCCATCAGCCTTAACTCTCCCTTGATGGTTTCCATCAGGACTTGTTCCTTCAAGTTTTTTCCTGTTTTACAGCAATATGCCACGATATTGCTTCTGTTATCTCCTTCCCTTTGTTGTGTTTCCTGGGGTCTGTGTTTCCTGTGTTCACTTTTCATCTGGAGCTTGGAAAAGAGTCCAGGTCTGTGTCATGGACTACTCATATATCAGATGAGGAGCCTCCTATGTCCCCTCGGTTTTTACTTTTTGCAATGGTGTAAGCATGCAGGAACCCAGTGGCTAAGTATTAAATGTCCAAAAGCAGCCACAGCTGTAGCAGACAAATCCTTAAAGAATGCACTCAGCTGAAACCAAATAATTTTTCAGTAACTTGGGTTTTTAAACTAAAGGGAATTTTAAATCTAAATTCATTAAAAAGTAAAAAGAATCTAAACCTATTTAATTTAAAAGTTGCAGATGTCAGATTGGAGTATTTTGCAGAACTAAAATGCAGTCGCAAAATCCTTCATTGTCACCGAAATGGCAGCGTTTTGGCCCAGCACTGTGTTTGAAAAATGTCACTGAGCAAGCACAGTGGTCTCACAGTGACCTGTGCTCTCCTGCCAGAGCTTGTAAGTTACTAGGGTGTCTTGCAGTAGTTAAAACGTTTCTTTTAAGACACAAAAAATAACGTGGAGTCAATCTAAGTTTTCATTTCTTTAACCCTGCTTTAACACAGGTTGTTGTGAAGAATAGCCAAAAATATGATCCTCAGCCTTTCCTAAAGACTTAAAAACTAGCAAGCAAACAAAAGAAGTCCAGACGTATTAATATGATGGTTCTTGCTACTGCCATTGCTGTTGCTGCTTTTGTTACTTGGGAAAAAAGGTATCATTCACCTTTTTAGCCTGTCTGTTTTGGGACCTGATCTCACAATATCTGAATATCTGACAAATGGACAAAACAGTCCCTCCTGCTTTAACTTTCACTTGGGAATGTTTCTCTAACTTTTCTATATTCTTCCTTTAGTATAGCAGATCTCCTTGTTAATACGGTGCCAATTTATGAGTTCTGGGGGAGGAAGTTTAAAGCCGTAATTTTAAATGTCAAAACCTCAAAGACAAAGAAAGCTCAAAGAAACAGCAAAAATCTGCTTTGTGACACATGGCTCCTTTCTGGACAACTTGGTGGATGTAGCTTCCACCCTGTGTTGCTCTTGTACTTGGTGATGGGGGAAGCATAGTGTAACTCCATTTAATCTCAGGGT